CCCCCGTATAAAAACTCAGATGGCCATGAAAGAAAGCTCCTAATCTAGAGCGTTTAGCAAATATACAAATCAGGAATCCACAACAACTCAGCTTTAATTGTCAGTCCACAGACTTAGAAACATAGAATGTTACGGCATATAAGAACCATTCACCCCCCGTTAGTCTGCCCAATTTTCTAAATACTTTTGCTTATCTTAAGTCTAGGATAGCCTTATGTCTATCCCACGCATGCTTAAACTCCCTCACTGTGTTAATCTCTACCACTTCAGCTGGAAGGCTATTCCATGCATCCACTACCCTCTCAGTAAAGTAATACTTTCTGATATTATTTTTAGCAACGCTAATATATTGTGGGCTTGTTACATATTATATTGCAAAATATTTTACCCCTTTCCTTTTTGTTCATCATCTAGTCTTATTTAAGATTTGATATAACATGTTTGCATTTTAAATATTAATTTGTTTAGTGAGTATACCCCTTTTTGTTCTTGTTTTGACTTTACTAAGTGGATTTATTCCTTTAATACCATTTATCTCCTATTCCTGGTTCAAGCAGTGAAACGACTTCTTGCTATTTAATCTACAATAGGAGAGGTTCATTAATATTTGAAATACATGTTACGAGCCAAGTGTCGTTTAATCTGCCGTGGTCCGTACAAGCTTTTGACAGAAAAACTGTGCAGTGCTACAGCTAACTTCATTTGCAAAACACAAGAATAAAGCAATAGAATCCACAAGCTTGTGGCTAGCTACATTCATGGTTTTTATAAATGAAGTTACCTGAGAATGTGTGAGCTCTCTTATAGAAAGCTACAAGAGAACGTGTGCCGCTGCAGATAGACACTGACTGATTTTACACACAAGACAAGGTAAACTTTTTAAAATGACTGAAATGTGGAAACTTATATTCATATATTGGTCAGTGACCTTTTGAAATGCACAGCACATGATATGTACTAAGTATTGTGGGAGCATTGTGAACGATCCCACAGAGGAGAACTAGACAGACAATTCAGGAAATAAGAACTTTCCTGGCAGTTTATTTTTATATGCAATATACATTTTAGTAATTTGTGTGAAGCAGAATGAATCCATGCATTTCCCCGTTTTACAGACGTGACCGCAGCACGTTCTTATCATCATTTGTGACAATTCTTTTCTACAGGCGGCCGAGAAGCGAGCAGATCACCTGGAGGCCCTTCTGGAACAGCAAAGGAAGCAGCTGCTTACGAAGTAGATTGCACTTCCTTTATCCAATCCGTGTTGTCCCCAGATGCACCTGCTCTGGACCATGCTATGGCCATCCAAGCTCTGGACCATGCTATGGCCATCCAAGCTCTGGACCATGCTATGGCCATCCAAGCTCTGGACCATGCTATGGCCATCCAAGCTCTGGACCATGCTATGGCCATCCAAGCTCTGGACCATGCTATGGCCATCCAAGCTCTGGACCATGCTATGGCCATCCAAGCTCTGGACCATGCTATGGCCATCCAAGCTCTGGACCATGCTATGGCTATCCAAGCTCTGGCCCATGCTATGGCCATCCAAGCTCTGGACCATGCTATGGCCATCCAGCTCTGGACCACGTTCTGGCTGACAAGTTTAAGTCTGATTATTGATCACAATCTGTTTGCATCCTTACTAGCTATTTTTGACAATAAAGCTATTTTTTTTTTAATACTTTCAGAATAATGGTCTTTTTAGTCAAATATCTGACATGCATAATGGGTTCAACACTATGTAAGGTTGTTGGCTTTTAGTGAATGTCATCCTATTGACTCAGGGTTATGTACTTAAAAATGAATTTCACATTTTAGACTATGTAGCGGAGTAGTAGTATTATCCACGGTATCTCCGCTGGTAGACAGAATAAAACAGGTACAAAGCAGGCAAAATGCAGGTAAAATCCAGATAGCGTAGTTACAATCCCTTTCTCCCAAGAACTAGACGACACATAGCTTGGAGGTAAACTGAGGTTTTTAATCACAGGCACAGTATTTATGTGGTTACAATTGTATGGGGTTTACCGAGTCACAATGCAGGGTTTGTCCAGTAGGGGACTACATGGGGGACTGAGTTTTACAGCCAGAGTACCCAGCATACACTGCTGTACCAAGGAGATAATTATCCCAGAATGCATTGCTAATGGGATTATCCCTTGGAACAGCAAAATACCGTTTTTATATTAAAATCTATAACCGACATAATATTTATGCTAGACAGCTATTTAACCCTTTATTACATAGCTGGGACCTGGGCGCACAGTTAAGTGAACTTGCGCCCCGATCCCAGCGCAAATAACCGAACGCGGTTCATTTTCCCTTATCAGGACCACTTAGTTTAACCGATTGTCTGAACTGAGGGAATAAAAGTCCCGAAAACGGAAAACTCCCAAACAGCTCTGAAGTCCAGCGGGGCTTGTGTTGCCGAGTAGCCGATTTTAGTTCCAGGCACTCGACAACAAAACCCCGCTGGCTTTCCGCGAACAAAGATGGCTGCCGCCTCGTGTTCGGTACATGAATGGCGGCCACCCGCAACAGACCGCAATTAACACCGATACATTGTTGCAAAGTACCTAATTGGAGACACACGACCTGCTATGGGTGGTCTCCAAATTCGGTACTTTGCTTATTCCACGAACAGTGCGGTGATTCACTGTTCGTGGATAACCAGACTTAACATTAGCGGCATTCGTGTGCTGTTACACACGAATGCCGCATACATTGCACAATACAGTTAACAGCAGCAGAAATATATAGTTCGGTTAAATACACAGTTTAGTTCTATAAGTGGCTAGGTTTGCCACAGACTAAATAGAAAAATTCTCCAAGTTTGCTGTGTTTTAAAATGCACACGGACACTACACACAAATACATGTGTTCACACGGACACTGTGCATACAATACATTTGCTCACACAGCACTGCCCGCAGAAATACATGCGTTCACACGGACACTACACACAAATACATGCGTTCACGGACACTTTGCACACAATACATGCGTTCACACGGCACTGCCCGCACAAATACATGCGTTCACATGGACACGGTACACGCAAATACATGCATTCACACAGACACTGAACAAATGAACACGGTTCTATGACTGTTACTGTAGCAGAGCCCTTAGTCCTGGCAGGGACTTATCTCCGCTGGATCACCAAGAGTCGAATCAGGAACAAGAAAATGCCAAGTAAATAGCCCACCTCCTCCCCAGCAACTGGACGAGACACAGTTCTGGGGATACAACTGACTTTATTTTGCCACACACGGCTTTTATGCATTGCCCCTAGCATGGGGTTTTCAAGTCAAAAACACAAGGGTTTCTTTCCCAAGAGCCTTTGTGTTTGAGAGATAATGGAGCTCAAATTAGGATCACTTAATTAATTAACATAAAATTTTAACATATCCAAAATAATACATGAAAACAGTACAGGAACCCTACAAAAATCATATTCCCAAATAGCCCCGTTCTGAGTGCACAACATATCCACAAAGCGCTCTGATTGGTTTGGTAAAACAAAACTTACGTTCAAACAAAGTTTTGACGGACAGGCCACGAGGTGATAGCCCAAAACAGTTCCAGAGAATTGGGCAGGATGGCCGGTCGGCTTTCAGGGGTGTGGCAAACCCTGCCACTTTGACTATTTTATGCGAATAAACAGTGGAATCATTACATGCGAATGGGTGCTAAAGCAGTGACTAAATGCACGAACGGACTCTAATGCTATTCTTACTCTTCTGTATGCGAATGCCCCGAAACTACCGAACGGGAGATCACCCCGGGGTGGTCGTGTGTTTCCAATTAACTGAAAGCTTCAATGTTGCGAAGGGAATTAAGTACCTGTATGTGTGGCCGCCATTTCGCCTACCGAACACGTGGCGGCGGCCATCTTACGCACGAACAGCGGTACTTGGTCGTCGAACGCCTGGAACTCAAACCGGGCATTCGACTAACCAAGTACCGCTAAGACCTCCAGCATGCTCAGAAAGCACGAACCAAACACACGAACGCCCCGGCGTTCGGTAGATGGAATCCCCCAAACGAGGGGATTCTTACGAATGGTAACAGTTGCCTGGATGCCTAAGCCGTTTGGGACTTTGCGTTCACTAGAAAAGACCGACCGCAGGGCCAGAATTCATGGAACTGTTTTCGGCTACTGAGCCCCTGCGGTCGGTCAAATCTTTCAATGCCTGTAACTCCCGAACCCCTGGTCCGGTCTGGGTGAATTTTGAGTATGTTGCTCACCCAGATTAGACCTACCAGGGGACCCATTATTCAACCCTGTACCCCCTGTATTTAGGGGACATCTATAAAGTGGGGAAAACTCTGTCCCCATTAATCTGTTTAAGTGTTAATCTAAGGGGAGGAGAGGGATGGGAGGTGACCATGTTATGATTGGCTACTGTACTAATTATGAAAGTTACCTCCCTTGCATGGGAGAAATGCATAAAAGCAGACCTGTGAATAAAGCTGACAGTTGACTCCCAGACTATGTGTAGTCTAGTCCTTGGGGAGATGGATTATGCTGTGTTCCTGTGATTTTGTATGCTGAATCTTTGTTCCCAGCGGAGAGCTATTGGATTAACCCCTGCTACTCCGCTACAGGGGGTTCCTGTGCGAACAGTGACGAACGCTCCCCCTGTTCAGTAGATCATATCTACCAAATATCGTTCGTCTAGATGGTTGGGAAGTTGGACGGGTTCGAGGAGACACGAGGCCGAATAAGGTTCCAGTTCGACCAAGTAGCGATGCCTGCGTTCGGGAGGCAAAATGGCCGCCATGCACTGGACCACGTGCATTCGGTTATACAAATGGCGGACACCAAGGGAAATCACTCAAGAGAAGGTGTCAAGTCATTAAAGGGACACTATAGTCACCTGAACAACTTTAGCTTAATGAAGCAGTTTTGGTGTATAGAACATGCCCCTGCAGCCTCACAGCTCAATCCTCTGCCATTTAGGAGTTAAATCCCTTTGTTTATGAACCCTAGTCACACCTCCCTGCATGTGACTTGCACAGCCTTCCATAAACACTTCCTGTAAAGAGAGCCCTATTTAGGCTTTCTTTATTGCAAGTTCTGTTTAATTAAGATTTTCTTATCCCCTGCTATGTTAATAGCGTGCTAGACCCTGCAAGAGCCTCCTGTATGTGATTAAAGTTCAATTTAGAGATTGAGATACCAATGTGTAATGTAAATTACATCTGTTTGAAAGTGAAACCAGTTTTTTTTTTTTTTTCATGCAGGCTCTGTCAATCATAGCCAGGGGAGGTGTGGCTAGGGCTGCATAAACAGAAACAAAGTGATTTAACTCCTAAATGACAGTGAATTGAGCAGTGAAATAGCAGGGGAATGACCTATACACTAAAACTGCTTTATTTAGCTAAAGTAATTTAGGTGACTATAGCGTTCCTTTAATTTGTGGTTTAACAGCCATGGTTGGTCAGTTTTCACTGGGGCAAAACAAGGGACCACACACCGAGAGACGAACAAGGGGGTACGGACAACCGAACATAGGGTGACAGAGTCTGCTACTGTTACATACATGTTCTCAAGTTCTCACCTTTACTAGCACATAAGCAGAGAAAAAGTAAAATGAAAGCAGGATCTCCCCCTTAGAATGTGTCGAATTGATAAATGACTGCATGCTCCATGACGGTGATGAGTTGGGACTGGTGGTATTAACGTGGCACGTGAACTCCCTTGCTGTAACATTTTTTCCTATTGTAAAACCAATCAATAATGTCTTCAAACATGCAAAAGTGAACCAGATTCCCAAACATGTTATGCTAATATAAGTAACAAAAGCTCCTGTTCTGTGAACATGTCCAGTGTGTGTATGGCATGACTGACAGAATGCTCGTTGCCTCCTTATACAAACAAGATCACGGTGTATATCCCAGATGTTACCTGCTTACATGTGGTTATGTACTTAGAAGTGTTGCACAATCACAGCCAATTACCTGGAGTTTTATAGGCTGGCAAAGAAACGTCATGCCCAGTTCTCTGGCATTTATATGATCTGTGTCCTTAATTACAGGATGGTAGCAGACATGCAAGGAATTTGCAATAGAGATCGGTTTGTTAACTTATTATAAACGCATTGTATGTTAAAATTGAACATAGAATCCAATCCTTTCAATAATTTCTCATGATTTGTGATATAATGTTTACTTATCTCCTATATTTAACAAATGTTTATTTTTGAGCGGTAGAAAATAAAATAAAATGCAGAATAAAGAGGTGTGGAATTCTACGACTCAGTGCCTTTATCTTGGCTCCCTGTCATTCATTGTGATAAGTTGTGGCCTTTGCACCTGAAATGGATTGAAATACAAATGCTAAATATTTATTTGAGAAAAGAAAAAAAAAATTAATTGCATGGAAAATTTAGGTTAACACAATGATATTCAAAACTACAAACCACAAAAACAAAACAAAAAAAAACATTTAAAGCAGTGGTTCCCAAACCAGTCCTCGATTTAGGGAAGTTTATTTATTTTTTATTTTATTTTTTTTCCCTAAATCTTGGACTTGTAGGGGGTGCACGAGGACTGGTTTGGGAACCATTCATTTAACCCTTTCCCGACCAAGGACGTATCATTTACGTCCAATAAAAAAAATTAAAAAACAGTCCTTTGGGACTGGAGACATACCTGATACGTCCGCGGCTAATTAGAGCGGCTGGAATCGATCATGATCGCTTCCAGCCGCTCTAGCGGTATTGCAGCGATACCTTGATGTCAATGCATCGTGCAATACCCCCTGACTGTCTGGCTCCCGAGTGATCGCTCCCCCTGGAGCCCGGCAGTGAGGCAGAGCAACGGAAGCCATCAGGCAAGCTACCGATGCTCTGCCAGTTAATAAATAAATAAAGTATATATGAGATTGATATATACATATATACACACATATTATATCTCTCTCTATATATATATATATATATATATATCTTGTATATAATGTCATGCTAAGTGAATTTTTTTATTATAAAAAAAGCTTAGAGTAAAATTACACACGTGTGTATATATATATATTGTATCAAAACACACTTAGAATAAAATTATAAGTGTATATATAAATAAAAATAATACAAAATATACATATGTCCATATACATAATTAGATAAATAATTTCCTAAATATACACGTAGACTTCAAATATACAAATATGTATCTATATTTAAATTCTACATGCATATTTATGTAATATTTTTACATAATTAATTTTATTGATTGCAACTTGAGAGACCTGACTGACAACCCAGGCTGAAAGTCCAGAGAATTTAATTTGCTAGCACTGTATATAAGCCTGTAACTTTCTACAACACCCTAAAACCTGTACATGGGGAGTACTGTTTTACTCAGAGACTTCGCTGAACACAAATATTTAGTGTTTCAAAACAGTAAAACATATCACAGCGATGATATTGTCGGTAAAAGTGATGTTTTTTCGCACAAACTGCACTTTCACTGATGATATTATTGTTCTGATATGTTTTGCTGTTTTGAAACACTGATATTTATGTTCAGCGAAGTCTCCCAAGTATAACAGTAGCCCCCATGTACAGGTTTTATAGTAAGTTACCAGGTCAAATATATATGACCGTTTTTTCACATTGAAAATTGCCAGGTTGGTTATGTTGCGTATGGTAGCCCAGGAATGAGAATTACCCCCATGATGGCATACCATTTGCAGAAGAAGACAACCCACGGTATTGCAAATGGGGTATGTCCAGTCTTTTTTAGTAGCCACTTAGTCACAAACACTGGCGAAAGTTGGCGTTCATAATGTTTTTGGCATTTTAACACACAAACAAATATAAATGCTATTGTTTGTGACTACTAAAAAAAAACTGGACACACACCATACTGAATACCCTGGGTTGTCTACTTTTCAAAAATATATGGTTTGATGGGGGTAAATTGCATTGGCCGGCTTCAAAAATGTCCCAAATAGGACATGGGTGCATCATGACCAGCTGTGAAAATTCCAAGTTGGCAAACTGGAATGCGCACCCTCCAAATAAGGTCTTTTAGCCCCAGAGAACCTAACACACCTATACATGTGGGGTATCACGGTTGCTGAACACATATCGGGGTGTTCTTTGGCAGTAACCCTTAAAGTTTTCAGTACATGTATTCTTAAATTGCTATGTGTCTCAAAAAAATCACCAATTATTTATTTATTTTTGGCATAGATTGGTGGTAAAATGGTTGCATGAAAAGAGTCAAAATACCCCTAGTTTAATACCTTAGGTTGTCTTCTTTTAAAAAATATATACATGTGAAGGGTTATTCAGGGATTCCTGACAGATATCAGTGTTGCAATGTAACTTTTGTTAATTTTGAAAAAAAAGTTTGGAAATCGTTAAGTGCTACTTGTACTTATTGCCCCTTAACTTGCAAAAAAAAAAAAAAAAGCTAAGAACATGTTAACATTGGGTATTTCTAAACTCAGGACAAAATTTAGAAACCATTAAGCAAGGGTGTTTTTGGCAGTTGTAGATGCGTAACATATTTTGGGGGTCAAAGTTAGAAAAGGAGTGGGTTTTTTAAATTTTTTCATCATATTTTATAAAAAAATTTTTTATAGTAAATTATGATATGATGAAAATAATGGTATCTTTAGAAAGACCATTTAATGGATTAGAAAAACGGTATATAATATGTCTGGGTACAGTACATGAGTAAGAGGGAACATTACAGCTAAACACAAACACTGTAGAAATGTAAAAACAGCCCTGGTCCCAAATGGTAAGAAAATTGAAAAGCGGTCCGGTCACTAGGGGCTTTCTTAACGCGTGTTTTCCTTTAATATCAATTAGGCACAAACTTTTAATAAAACTAATAAAACTTGCAAAAAAATGATATAGATTTATTCTTCATATATTAACTGTACGTGTATTTTTTTTTATAAACCTGGAATCCAGTGCCGAGGGAACCTACCAGCGCTGCATTACACGCCTGATGTCACCACGGCCCTTGCAGGGTCCAATTAAATGTGCATGGGCGTGCTTTCATCCAGTGAAGGAGGAGATGAAATAAACAAAATAAAATGTTAAAAAAAAAAAAACGGAGGTATGAGGGATCGAATGTCTGCTTACCCCCGCAGGTGCGCTGCCTGTAAGGGAGAAGCTCAGTATGCCTGTCGCCAGACGCAGATTTTGCACAAGAACAGAGTACTGGGCTGCCTAAGCCACATTTGCCACGACTTTAACTAGCCCCTGGCACACAAGTCCAAATTTCTCTGAAATATTGCACATACAGACTCCTACCACCATAACCTTTTCTAAACGCAGAAGTGGTAATGGTGGTTGGAGTAAAAAACACAACCATGTGCATTCAAGTAAGTACACTGTCTTGGACTTGCCAGTGTATAAAAATAACTCATTGCTTTGTGACTGCAATATACTTTTAAAGGCATCCAAGTTTATGCCTTTCATTATGCATAACTTATTAATTTACATTATTAGTAGAACATTAAACCAAATTGCTATCAGAATGATATACAATTTTATTAACATTAGAATTGTAAAAAAAAAAATAATTTAAAAAAAATAGTCGTTCAATACCCTAAAAAATGGGGGAAACAGCAAAAATTAAATGGAGCAAGGACATCAGCTGGAACATTTAAGCCAATTGCATTGCTCTTCCTGAGGGAGTGATGCCTCTATTGATATAAATCCACTGGTTTTTCTGAGAGATGGGCTTTTAAGGGTTATTTCCCCGAGTGACCATCCATTCTAGACTGTAAGCTCATTTGAGCAGGGCCCTCATCTACCTATTGTTCCTGTGTAATTGTGTAATTGTCTTTTTTATTGTAAATTTCCCCCTTTCATAATATTGTAAAGCGCTGCCGAATTAGCTGGCGCTGTATAAATACCTATAATAATAGTAATAATTCAGATGGGCAAAAGTTAAGGGCTTTTGGCATTATTGAACAATACTGGATTAATTTTAGTGTTATTTTATTGTACAAAATCACAAGATAAATTGCAAAAATGAGTTAGGAATGTAAATATTTTTTTATTTGGTTCATTTCTCAATTCTGCAGTTTGTAAACCGTGAATTCCAGATGAATTGAAAGAGATTCTATCAAACTTGCCTGAAGTTTTACAAATCCTTTGAGTGAAACAAAACACCATTTACTTTGTGGCTCCTGCTTTTAGACTTCAGACTTTCAGACTTGTACAAACTTTAAAAACTATAAACCATTTTGCGAGCCCAGGGTTGGACTGTAAAACATTTTAAGACATACGACAATCACATCAATCCGTGCAATAAACCTCGCTGAGACCTTTTACATATTCCCATGAAACTGAAAGACTGGTGTCGATAGAGTTTATGCTCACAGTTGTCCGACCTCGATTTTTTATATATTTTTTTGTTAGACCACTCGGGAGTCATTATGGCTCATTGAAATATCAAAAAAGTAGCAATGTCATGTGATGTTAAATCCTCTTTAATCTGTTATTTTAAAAAAGACTCTATAGTGTAAATAATACAAAGCTCTATTCCTTACACACACACCCTCATCTCCCTCCCCCTCCCATGGAAAGGGTTAAAAATCCCTTTGTGTACTCACCCAATTTCAGTGCGATCTCCCACAGTGCTGTGTTGACGCTCAGACAGGTGGAGGGCTAATGCGCATGCACAGCGGGCACTGTGAGCGCATTAGGACCTTCCCCCAGGAAAGCATTGCTTCAATGCTTTCTTATAGGGATTTTACTAACGCTGGATGATCTCATACAGGGCGCGAGTACGTCCAGTGTCAGGTGACCTAAAGTCTGTTAGCCATCAGGAAGTGCCTGATTGAAGGACCACTTCAATGGGATGACGTCTGGGTGACTATAGTGTCTCTTTAAGTCTGTCAATCACCTGGTGAGATGTATATCTGTTCTTTGTAATGTCAGTGACTCACACACCCTTAGAGAGTACTTATTGTGACAAGATCCCGTACAGATAGGAAACTCCAGCCTTTTACTGAACGGAGTAAAAATTATTTTGTCAAACTATTCATCAAGATTCATTCATTCATTAGCACTGAATAAATAACAGCAAGTACAGACCACACATAAATCACACAAAGCATCTAGACAGGCTGCACTAGGAGGACCATTCCTTCCAAGATTCCCTACTTATTAGGGACAGTCCCTACTTTGGCCCAAATCCCTCTGTCCCTCTTTTCTATCCTAATGCATCTCTTTTCTGGGAGCTCCATATTGTTGGTGTGTCTGAGTGTATAACAGAGCTCCACAGCAATAATACTCCCAGTAATGTGTCTGAGTGTATAACAGAGCTCCACAGCAATAATACTCCCAGTAATGTGTCTGAGTGTAATACTCCCAGTAATGTGTCTGAGTGTATAACAGAGCTCCACAGCAATAATACTCCCAGTAATGTGTCTGAGTGTATAACAGAGCTCCACAGCAATAATACTCCCAGTAATGTGGCTGAGTGAATAACAGAGCTCCACAGTAATAATACTCCCAGTAATGTGCCTGAGTGTATAACAGAGCTCCACAGCAATAACACTCCCAGTAATGTGTCTGAGTGAATAACAGAGCTCCACAACAATAATACTCCCAGTAATGTGTCTGAGTGTATAACAGAGCTCCACAGCAATAATACTCCCAGTAATGTGTCTGAGTGTATAACAGAGCTCCACAGCAATAATACTCCCAGTAATGTGTCTGAGTGTATAACAGAGCTCCACAGCAATAATACTCCCAGTAATGTGTCTGAGTGTATAACAGAGCTCCACAGCAATAATACTCCCAGTAATGTGGCTGAGTGTATAACAGAGCTCCACAGCAATAATACTCCCAGTAATGTGTCTGAGTGTATAACAGAGCTCCACAGCAATAATACTCCCAGCAATGTGTCTGAGTGTATAACAGAGCTCCACAGCAATAATACTCCCAGTAATGTGTCTGAGTGTATAACAGAGCTCCACAGCAATAATACTCCCAGTAATGTGTCTGAGTGTATAACAGAGCTCCACAGCAATAATACTCCCAGTAATGTGTCTGAGTGTATAACAGAGCTCCACAGCAATAATACTCCCAGTAATGTGTCTGAGTGTATAACAGAGCTCCACAGCAATAATACTCCCAGTAATGTGTCTGAGTGTATAACAGAGCTCCACAGCAATAATACTCCCAGTAATGTGTCTGAGTGTATAACAGAGCTCCACAGAAATAATACTCCCAGTAATGTGTCTGAGTTTATCAGAGCTCCACAGAAATAATACTCCCAGTAATGTGTCTGAGTGTATAACAGAGCTCCACAGCAATAACACTCCCAGCAATGTGTCTGAGTGTATAACCGAGCTCCACAGCAATAATACTCCCAGTAATGTGTCTGAGTGTATAACAGAGCTCCACAGAAATAATACTCCCAGTAATGTGTCTGAGTTTATCAGAGCTCCACAGAAATAATACTCCCAGTAATGTGTCTGAGTGTATAACAGAGCTCCACAGCAATAATACTCCCAGTAATGTGTCTGAGTGTATAACAGAGCTCCACAGTAATAATACTCCCAGTAATGTGTCTGAGTGTATAACAGAACCCCACAGCAATAATACTCCCAGTAATGTGTCTGAGTGTATAACAGAACCCCACAGTAATAATACTCCCAGTAATGTGTCTGAGTGTATAACAGAGCTCCAACCAAACCAATTAATCCGTTCTGGAGGTCAGAAAAAAGTAAAAATGAGCTGGCATGGAAACCAACCCACAATGCAGAACACACAATAAAAGGCATGCCAACGACAAAGCTCAGCTCCCTACCTTTCCACAGCTTGGGAAATGCACCAAAAGTTCCCAAAACAACTGCAAACAATTTCCAGAATGGCTCCAAAACTCGATGCAAAAGCCGCTCCAACACCTCCACACTCAACGCCACGTGCTACCCACAGGCTCCAGCATGCGTGGGGCAGCGCTATAAACCTCCCAGGTGCAATGCATCCTGGGGAAACTTGCTTTGTATTGCGAAAACAAATTGTAAACAGAGGCATTATTTTCAATGGATTTTCATTTGTAAACCGAAAATTATGTTAACCGAGGCGTTTGTAAACCGAGGTAACACTGTACATGGTTCTTGTTATAAAGTCAATTTTAGTTCTATAAATTGTTATTATTAAGTCACCTAACAATTCTCAGAACAGCCCCGCCCCTGACCAAACGCGTCCCATTTTGTCCATGTGAAATGTTGGGAGGTAAGTGGCACTCATAAATACCAGGATGTAAAACCCCCAGTTAGCGCTCTGAGCAGATCTTTGGAAAATAGTGATTCCAACATAGACACTGACTGCACCTTCTTGCAGATTACAAGAACGAAATATTAATACAGGAGCATTCGTAATCATTAGTTATATATCAATCAAATGTTCGTTCATTAGGACCAATCAAAAGTACCTCTGACTGAAACCAAACCCTATCACCTATCACCAAACAAAAGTAGAGAAAGATTTGAATTTTGTCATTAAAAGGGAATCCCAGGTTCAGGCATGTTGCTTATATTTAATACAGAATGGAACAACTGCATTAATTTTTTTTTAAGTGAGTAATATGCCAGGTATATGTAGATGTTGAAGGGGCACATTTGAGACTCAGCCATTCAATTTTTTTCTAACTTTGAAGTTTTACACTGTGTCCATGTTCCATTTTGGAACAGTTTAGCTGGTTGGTTATTCAAACTACCCCAAATCACATACTATTTATTAAAGAATACACCCTAGGGCAGTGATAGTCAACCTTTTTCTACCTACCGCCCACTAATGCATCTTTCTTGATGGAAAAATTTCCTTACTGCCCACCAGTTTTCACGCAAGTGCGGAATATATTTTTAGAAAGGAGGGTGTTTTAAAAAAAATAAATGTACGTACTAAATGCATGTTTATAATGTTTTTAACTTTATAAAGTTTAATTGGAAAACAATAAAGTAAATTGAAATTACCTTTACTAGTGATTAATGAGATCCTTGAGGCTAATGCTGCAAGACTAAATATTTGATATCTGGTTCGATTTTCGTAAGGAACAAACGAAGGTCTCCCCTTTCAGTGATATTCAGACGACTTCTCTGTTTGCGCATAATATGATTTCTCATCTGTGCGTCAGCTCATCTCATCTCCCTCCTCAATTCCCCTCCCCACCTTTTTTATCCCTTTTTTCTATTTTTTAACTTTCCTTATAGCAATGCCCAGTAGGAAGGCTTAGCTAGGTAGCCCACTTACTATAGCCCACTATAACAGACAGGCACACATACATACATATACACACACACACACATAAAAAGACACATACATACAAACAGACAGGCACACATACATACAGACACACAGACAGGCACACATACAGACATACAGACACACATACATACAGAAAAACAGACAGGCACACATACAGACACACACACACACACATACATACAAACAGACAGGTACACATACAGACACACACACACACACATACATACAAACAGACAGGTACACATACAAAGACACACACATAAGACATACATAGACACATACACACATACAGACACAAGACACACATACAAAGACACACACACATACATACACACAAAACATATACATACAAAGACAAGACACACATACATACACACATATATACAGATAGACACACACACACACAAGACATACATACAAAGACACATACACACAAACAAACACACACAAAAGATTTTAGTCACCCTCCTGTTTCCTACCTTTTAGGTGCAGGAGGGTGACTTTCCCTGGGGTCCAGTGGTGGCTCAGGTGCATGGGAGTCAAAGTTCCTACTCTGACTTCCTGGTCTTCCTCCCGCGCAGTCTGTTTGTTAGCTGGGAGGAGTGACGTTCAGTCACTTCCTCCCAGTTTTGTGATGTCATCACAGGGGGCCCGGTCGCGCTGTTAAAGCGCCCTGTGCTGACCGGGCCCCCTCTCAATCCACATGACAGCGTGGGCCACCCGATGGACCCCTTGGACAGCGGCCCCGGCGGTTTGCCACGCGGGCCGGGGCCGCAAATGGTGACGGCGGTACCCGGTCGCAGGGGTACCATCGGCTCGCATTCGCCCTCCCGCCTACCCAATCTCTGAAATCCCTACCGCTCACCTGGAATCCTGAAACGCCCACTAGTGGGCGGTAGGGACCAGGTTGACGACTCATGCCCTAGGGTATTTCAAAAGGCATATTTTGCACCTTAGCGTGGGATCATTTTTTCGCTAGTTTCTTGCAGGTGTAGTGGTAATTAGCATTTTTAACGTATTTTTAAAAAACTTTTTTAAACTTGTTTTTTTTACTTATTACATTTTTTTTACTTTTTAAAGCTTTCTTAAAACTTTGACACTTTTTATTTTTTTATTTTTAAATATGTTTTTCTTATGCAAACATACATCACAACACAATACTGTATAAAACATTAGTATATATTAAAAAAACGAGAAAGAAAAGACACACAGCAATAAAAAGTCAATCCTTCTTAGCCTTTCCAGCACTATTTTTCATTAGCATAATTTGTTTTGTAAATTTTTATCTTTCCCTTTCCTTCTCATTTTTAATCTACAAGGGATAACTTAGTTAACCAGTTATTTGTATCAAAGATTTTTTTTTCTCCAGATTTCTATTTAACCCTCCCTCCATTGTCAGCTGCAAATTGAGTTGATTTTTTCCAATTTTCCAATTTAGCTATTGAGATCTTACCCACTATAAATGCGTGAATAAAAAGATATTGTAAATTTAAATTATATTGATTTAAGTTTAGGTGTAGCATAATCACTTCTGGGGAAAAGGAAGGTGAATTCCTGTTAACAATTTCATTTTGAACAAAAAACATTGCAATGGGCCAAATATGTGAGAAATCTCTTTTTTCTAAGATGCATCTCCAACATGTATCAGATAAACTTTGATTTATTTTAGTCGGTTAGGAACCAGATTTAATCGATTAAGGATCTTAAAGTGTAATTCCACTAAATTGAAACATTTGATATGTTTAGAATCTGTAATCTAAGACGGTTTCCAGTCTTGTATATCAAACTTCTTTTTTAGATCCTTTCCCACTAGCCGGAAAGGTAAGGTCAGCCTCGGTATATTTTAGTAACGAGTTCCATTTATTTAGCAGATTCTTCATATCCTTTCCTTTTATTAAACTTCCTATTTTGTTATGAAGTTCAAAATTGTCTTTAGTTAAGGCTTTATTTAGATTATTTTTTAATTCTCATATAATTGTATTGTTCTCTCTGGAAGACCAAATTTAGA